ACGTGCGTGACTTTGTAGAGAAACAAAATTAAACGGCAGCTTCCTTCTATTTTCCCCCATGTTGACTTTTAAGATTCCATTCTTGAACCTGGTGGCTACTCTGTGTTGCCAGCTAATGAAGACTCTTGCTTTTCTGGGATTTCCACAGGCTCGGACAGTCTGAGGCACACAACCCTGCTGTGTCTTCCCTGACACAGGAGCTGCTCCCACATGGAGGTCGTCAGGGAGGTTAGGGCCAGCTCCTGAGTCCCATGGTGATGAGCCCCTGATTTGAAATCCTGTTATCAGGGGCATTCATTCTGGAGAAGACTTCTCCAAAGAGACTCACAGAAAAATTCAGCACAGGGCTTCTGAATCCTTTTACTCTCGGGTCGGTAGCTTTAGAGCATGGCCCTTGGGGTCAGTGGGTCTAGTGCAGACAGCAGCCACAGACCATCTCTGCTGACCCCCTTGCTAGCCGTGTCCAAAGTCACCAAATCCTGCTGCTCCTGCCTCAGAAGCATTTCTCCAATCCGTTCCCCTTTCTCTCTCATGACACCATCCCTGCCCCAGATCTGACCCTCATCACTTCCTTCCTTGACTATGATAAACCTTGTGTCACTGCTCTCCCACTGCCTTTTCTCAATCACCAGAATTCTTTGTGGGGCTTATGAGGCCCTTTCTAGTGCCAGCTGGCTTTCCCACCTCCCTCTGGCTTCTCTCCTTTAGAGATAATAAGATTAATCACAGTGACCTTTGTGTCTCGTCTTGCCTATGAGCTTCCTGTTGCCTTTGCCTGCATGATGGATTCTGCCTGGAATCCCTTTCCTGCCTCGCTTTCCGTCTGGTGAATCTCTGCTTTTCCTACCAGTCAGCAGCAACACGGCCTCCTCTGGGAGCACACGCCAGCCTTCTCTGTTACTCTTCTTTGAAAACCAGAATTTTTGAATCATACAGCGGTTCTAGAACTTGCCATATTGCATCATATTTATTGGCTAATATTGCTCCTTTTATTACTAGACTAAGCATCTCAAGTCTTAGGGAGAATACTTTCCCAGTCCCAGAAACGGTGCCGATCACTGTGTACGAATTAAGTAAATACTTGATGAGTGAGTGAAGGAAGGAGGGACAGATGTGTCAGATATCCAATGTGGATGGATACTTACAACATTGTATTAATAGGGCAGGGGCTATTCTGAAGGCATTTTAGTCTCTCCCTTACTATAATGCTTTACACTGAGTAGGTATGAAATGCACTCATGCTAAATGAGTATTATTATTCAAAGTTGACATACTTAGAATACTAAAGCATCGGGAAAACTTTCACTTGGATATGCACTGGTTTCCCTGGGTTTTCATCATATACTATAGAAGATAAAACTTAGAATACACAGTTAAAAGATTTATTCATGTTTTCTGCAGCCAATTCTAGAATAAAATCCAATTGTTTCAATACCCATGTCAGATCACTCTGCTTCAAAGTCGTGCTTCTTTTCCAGTTAGCATGTAGTATCAATAAAGGAGCTCTTTAGCTTTATTGAAAATTCCAGGACAAATTATATTACCAACACAATTCGAAATCAGCTGGAATTAGGATCTAAAAAAAATAGCTGAATTTGTATTTAAAGCAAACAGTTATCCTTATAAGCACCTTGGAGAATTTCCAAATGATTAAACTGAATACCAGTGTCATCTTCAAGAACTCACCAACTACGAAAGTGCTGTATTATAAGCACTTCAGGGCAATGGATTACCACTAGACATCCCACAAAGGGTCTACTCAAGTAAAATATTTAATAAGGAATCGTAAATGCTTGTATTTTATAGATAAAATCCTACCCTCTCAAGTTCCTGGTTCCTCACAGTCTGTAAAATGTCTTGACAATAGGTGCAGTATTCATCAGCGAGAAAGCTCATCTAGGAATGACACGGAAAGTTATTTCAGCGTGCAGCCACTTCAGGAATGAACAGATCCTCGAGGACCTTTCTGAAGCTCTCGCAGGCTGCTATTGTTACAGCTCTGGTATGAGATTAGCCGGGCTCTTCAACTGGGCCATAATGTTTTCTATTTCTATGGAGTAATGCATACCTTATTGGCCTACAGTTCATGTGGCTTTAGTTCTGATGTTGTAAGTCATATATTTCCAGGGTTTGTTTCACTGCTACAAAGGCCACCAACCTTTGACACCTTTCTCTTGAAATCCCATTTTTCCCCATCCATGTTCCCCAGCCCCTGTTTCCATGTATGTATGTGTTCCCTTCTTCTCATAAGAAGGAAGCTGGGGCCGGCCCGGTGGCGCACTCCGTAGAGTGCGGCGCTTGAGAGCGCGGCAGTGCTCCCACTGAGGGTTCGGATCCCATATAGAGACCGGTCTGCTCACTGATTGGGCATGGTGCGGGCGCAACACTGAGGGTTGTGATCCCGTTACCGGTCACGAAAAAAGACAAAAAAAAAAAAAGAAGGAAGCTGTCCGGGTGGAGCCTCTCGATACTACGTGAGGGGAAGACCTGAACTTGCCGGCCCCCACCTAGCTCTGGAGGGAATGTTGGTCCTCACGGGCCTGGGAAGAAGCAAGTATCACTCCATGTGGCACAACCATGACCACAGGCAAAGTAAGAAGGTATTTACTGCCCTAAGTATCGCACAGCATGAAAAGCTACTCTGCCCCGAGGAGTGCAAACCTACCAATTTATAGGAGTACTTCTTTGCCAGTTCTTCCTCCCAAGATGGACATCTTCTGAATTCAGACAAAGGGGATTCACCTGGTTCTGTCTTTATCAGTGAGTGACATTCACACTAGAAGTCATTTAGG